TTTCATCAGTATGAGGACCTTCCAATATAGAAACTCCTCTACCCAAGCAGGTCATTATTTGTTCTCCAACTTATTGTCTCGAGAATTGCTTGGGGGGCACTGAGATGTTAAGTGATTTCCCAAGGGTCACACAGCCAGTAAAAGTCAGAAGCTGCACTTGAACTCAACTCTTCACGAGGCAGAGATCAGCTCTCTATCCATGCCCTTTGGGTATTAGAACAGGGATGTGATCTATGATTTCACAGGTCAAAGACACTTCCAGATGAGAACATTCCCTCTGCCAGTGCAGGTAGCATCTTTTCTGTCACTTCAAGTCTCAGAGAGTAGCTTGGGGGGACCGAGAACTTAAGCAACTTGGCCAAGCCGGTATGTGCCAGAGTTTGGACTTGAAACCCGGACTTCTTGACCCCAAGGTTGCCTCTCTATTAGGCACGCTGCCTCTCAGTGTTCCAGCAAGACTGCCTTGCCTTTCAAACACAGTTCTGTCTTAGTTGAAGTCTGTCCGTTTGGTTGATTTACTCTGGAGGCTGGTTTGATTCTTGTAACTGCATTGTCCTTGGTCATTTTATTAAAAACAAGCGAACAAACAAACTACATTTGGGTTAATCAGGAAAGGACTTCATTGACTTTTCCTGATTTTTAAAATTCTTCTCAATTTCATCCCCCAAACTGGCTGGCTAGCTCTTGTTTGAGCCGTCCAGATACCAGATTCTGCCCATTTTAGTGTGGCTCTAAGACTACAGGAAGGGTGTGAGCGCAGGATTTCTCATCCCAGAGCTCAAATCCTACTAAGCAATTCCAGCTTGAAATAGACCCAAGGGGCAGGGGTGGACTTTAAGGATGCTTTAACTAGATTTTACTAGGTGGTGCAGTGGACAGAGTGCCGGGCACGGAGTCAGGAGGATCTGAGTCCAAAACTGACTTCAGACACTTAGTACCTATAAGACCCTTGGCAAATCACTGAACCCTGTTTGCCTCAGTTTCCTCATCTGTAAAATGAACTGGAGAAGGAAGTAGCAAATCACTCCAGTATCTTTGCCAAGAAAACCCCAAGTAGGGTCATACATACATGACTGAAAAACGACTAAACAACTAAATGGCTTCTGACATCAATGAAATGAAACAGAGTGTTAAAGGTCCCCTTGAACTTGTGGTTAATAAGAGGTAATGACTGAAACACCAGAGAACCGGGTCCTTCAGATTGTCGACAGCTCAGGTGATCCATGAAACTTGATCATGCAAGATGTAAGTTTTTCTGACTTTCCCAATCCTGGCTCTCTTCCTCCACCTAGTGGAATTCAGAGGCTCTTGGACGGAGAGATGGAGCCCAAGCACGGAGGGATGGATTTCAAATGACAGATTGTTAGGGCTGGAAGGGCCCATCGAGATTTTGTGCCTCAACCTTCTCATTTTAAAAACAGGAAGACTGAAACACTGATGAGGGAAATGACTTATCCAAACTCATTCACCCAAATGGTGGAAGGGTTGGGGCTAGAACAAACCCAACAGTCCTGACCTCTGTGCGTCTGGAGTTCTTCCCGTGTCACAATACTGCTCTTTTTTCATTAGCCACAAGGAAGGTAAATATTCAATGCAATCCTAGGAGAGCCAATGGAGAAACCTGAAAGTCTCCAGAAAAAGGGGAAGGAAACTAAAGCTAGGACTTTTCGTTGGTCTGGACCTGGACGGCATTCCCTGTACCACACAGTACTGCTTAATAAATGCTTGACGTGATTTGACTTGACTCGACTTTGATTCCGGTCATCCCTTCTCTTATGCCTTATAATCTTAGAGGGTGCCCGGGGCACTGAGGGATTTGGTGACCCCGCCGGCTGGAATCATAGGTGGGACTTGAGCTCAGGTCTCCCTGACTGAGACTTACTCTCTGTTCTCTGCCTCATGCTGCCTAGTCAGCCTAGGGTGTTGGACCTTGAAAATGGCCTGAATGAAAAGCCAAATTCCAGAAATTGCTTGTTGAATTCCAGGTATCACTTTGAGACCTCCAGGATCAAAGACCCCATGACTCAGGATCAGCAGATCCACCTCGAGCTTGTAGTAGGCCTGGTCTCGCCCGAACAGTTTAGAGAAAACAAAACATCCCATGGAATGGGAGGGTTTGGATTTGGACATCCCATGCTAGGCGCTCCAATTGTGCATGCACGTTTCCAAGTGTGGTAGCTACAGGGAGACAAGTCGCGTGAGCAGCAAGTCATTACTACTATTCAGGAGACAAGGTAGCCGCTTACGCTTCAGGGCCGTGATGAAAGCCTAGCTTTCTGAGCTCTGTCTTCCTAGACTGGAAGGGAATAGGGGCTAGACCCTGATATTTCATTGGCACAGGAAGCTCTCAGGTGGGGGAACTTCCTCCGTCAATGCCTGGCTGATATCTTCTCCTTGACTTATAGTCTTAGCTGTCCAGAGCATGAAGAGGTTGGTGGCTTGCCCAGGTCACCAAGGCAGTACATTTGTCAGGGGAAAGACTTGAACCTACAGCTTTCTAGCTCTGAGACCAATACTCTGTCCACTAAGCCATGTGCCTAAATGTGATGCAACCAGAAACTGATTGTAAGTTTCTCAGCCTGGTTCTTAAATATAATCTTTTAGCTTATGCATTAGGGTAGGAGGGCCTGCCTCTTGCAGACTGGGAAATGGGAGGTAAATACAAGTTTACTCTGGCATCTAGGCCTGCCCCAGCCTCCCTGCACCTCTTGGGACAGGTTGGGGAGATTATAGAGATGGCCAGCATGTGGCCCTAGAAGAAAGCGGGCCCACACCTAATTGGAGATCTCTTGCATCCACTCCATTTGGGCAGTGTAGATGGCACGTGCAATGTTTGCAGTTAGCAGATTGACGGGCTGACTGAGAGGGGAAGAAGTTAAATTGTTTTGGTAAAGCACAGCAGGCACCTGCATTAACCAAGTGGAACTGTGGGTGATTCTGCCATGGTGGAGGAGCCTGGCCCTCTGGCACTCTGACAGCTTGCTTCCCTTCTTTGAAAACTACAAATGCCAGCGTCTTGACGGGTGGGCACCAGAGTCAAGCAATCTACGATAATGCCAACTTGCTGGGGAGAGCTAGCAATTTGGTAAGGGACAAACTCAGAGGCGGTGCTGGTGTTTAACCAGGGCTCAGCAAGAGACCTATGGTGGAAAAAAGCAGACTCGGTTGGTCAGTAAAGAATCAAAGGGTCATAGGGATGGTTACAAAAGATGATACAGGGCCAGTCCCCAAAACAATCCAGGGGGACAGATGTCTCCTCAACAGGCATAATGTTGATGGTAATGAATTGGCAAAGCAGATCCCAAAGGAGCTAATTATAGTAATCTAGGAATGTGTCAGTCAAGCTTTTGGAGATTTAGAAATGTATGCACTTCGAGGCGGGTAGGGTGGCGTAGTGGATCGAACTCTGGAATTTGAATCAGAAAGATGTGAGTTCAAATTTGACCTCAGACACTTAGTAGCTGTGTGACCAGGGGCAAGTCATTTGTCCTTTCTCCCCATCAGTTTTCCCATTTCTAAAATGGGGATGATAATATCAGTACCTACATCCCAGAGCTCTTGTGAGCATCCAGTGAGATAATATAAGTAAGCCACTTTGCAAGCCTTAAAGGTTTATATGAGTATTGGTTCTTAGACTTAGAAGCCAGGAGTGATCATAGTGCAGGTGGGAAACTCGTGCCTTACAAGACGAGGGTCATCAGGAGTTGCTTTGTGTCTACGTTAGGTGGAGCAAGCAGGGATCCTCTGAGCAGGCGCTGGCGTCTGACTGAACCCAGGACTCTGCTTTCAAGAATGACACAGGAAGATACTGACACAAGACGCAGCAGGGACTTGTGGGCCCAGAGAATCCCTGCTGTCACATGAGGAATGAGGAAAGCAGCATGGCCAAAGATGTCCAGGGAGCTCCAGTAAATTGGCGTCCAACCCATTGGAGGGGGTCATGGATAATTCCAAGGGCTCCATCTCAATAAGCAAATGGAAAATTATAAAATCTCAGACCTGTAAGGGTCATAGACGAGGAAAAAGCAAAACTATTTCTTGCTCTAAAGGAGCATGCGTTCTAATGGGAAGAATAAATACAAATTCATTTATAAATATCCTTGAATTCACAGTAACTTTTTGTTATTATGTTGTTTCCCCCCTCAATCAGTAGACACCCATATTACAACTACAATCACATGAGGAGGAAATCTATTTTTTCTTTTAGCTAGGCGGGGCTCCACATACCTCCCCAAAAATGGGAAGCAATGGTGTGCTAGGAAGGGCAGCAGACTTGGGGGCAGCCCCGACACTTTAGATCATAGATTTAGAGGTTGGAGGGGCCTTAATTATCATCTAGTCTGACCTCCTTATTTTATGAGTTGGGAAACTGAAGCCCAGATAAGTGCCTAAGGTCACACAGGTAGAGAGGGCACACCTAACAAGGGCTGCTATGTCAATATGTCTACAGAGTGCTCTGGCAACGTCTGAATTCTGGCTGATGTTAATAGAAGGTGGCTTATCTCTGTGTTAATATAGTCAATATAATAATATGGACAATGTTCAGTCTTGGTAGAACTCAGACAGTCTTGCACGAAAATACCATTATCGAGCCGGAAGTCTGCACTTTGAGTAGCTGAGTGAGATCTTGTTTTAAGTCTCCATAATGGGCCACCTGCCACATCTGTGACTTTAATTATGGAACTGGCTTCCTATGTCTTTCCTGCTGGGTCTCTGCCCATTCCTTACAGCTTGGAGATTTTCTTAGTTTTCATGGATCACAGCACCTAGAGCTGGCAGAGGTTTAGAGAAGATCCAATCCAACCTTTCATTTAACAGATGGGGAAACTAAGACTTGTGCAGAGGTGTAAGGGTAGAAGTAACAATGTTTGGATTTGAGCCCAGGTCCTATCTCCAAGTCCAGTAGTCTTGCTACTATACCATTTTTCTGCTGGCAGCCATGGAAGCCAGATAACGATGATGATGATGATGAATATAGCATTTCTATAATACTTTAAGGGCATAAAGTGCTTCACAAGTATTATCCCATTTGATCGTCATAACAACCCTGGCAGGTAGATGTTATTATCCCCATTTTATATATGAGAAAACTGAGGCAAACAGAGGGTAGGTGACTTGCACAGGGTCACACAGCTAGGAAGTGTCTGAGGCCACGTTTGCACTCAGGTCTTCCTGTCTTCAGGCCCAGCACTCAGTGCACTATGGCGCCACCTAGCTGTTAGAAATTGGGGTTACCCTATTATGCCAGAAATTGATTTTTTTGGGGTACTCTGTGAGAAAGCCATATACATAATCACAATATTCAGGTTACATTTTGTATTGATGTTACAATGTTCTTACCAGTGGTGGAGAGTGTCCCAGCCCGGGCTCCAGTTTTGTAGAGTGGAGAGTGATACAGCGAGGGGATGGGCTCATAGTTTTGATGAGGCTCGAAATGTACCACGGGCAGCATGGGGTTCATCTGTCCGGGCAAAGCATCTTCTATGACCATGTTATCATCATCCCAGCGCGAAGCATCCATGAACATCCCATGCACCAGCACGCCATCCTCAGGAGAGGGCAGCTGAAAGGCAAACATAGGCACAGAAACCCAATTGGTGCATTTCTGGAGGCATGACCTTGAATAACAAGCATTTATTAAACACCCATTATGTCAGGCAGTCACCTAGCATTTATTGAGCACTTACTGTGTGTCAGGCACTGGGCTGAGTGCTGCGGTTACAGAGAAAGGCAACAGCAGCGGCAGCAGCAACAAAAGCTCAGACAAAACAAAGCACAAAGTCCCTGAGCTCTCCAGGACCTCACCATCCAATGGGGCCGTGCTCTGGGCAAGGGTCTGGGGACATAAATGCAATGTGGGAAACAGATCCCTGCTCACGAGGGGTTTGTCTGAGGCAACATGTATCTCTCTATCTGTCTGTCTGTCTATCTATCTATCATCTATCTATCTGTCTATCTATCTATCTATCTGTCTATATCTATCTATCTATCCATCCATCTATCTATCTATCTAT